CTCCGGGAAGCGCGGCCGGTTGCCTTGGCTGCCCTCCTAAAAGCAGGGCGCGGGCCGGCCCGCCTCCCTCCCGCAGCGCCTGCCGCCATCTGCCCCTTCCCTGAGGGAGCCGGCGCCCGCGGAGGAGAGGCCCGGCGGCGGAGGCCGGGCAGCCGCGGTGCCCCCAGGGCGAGGAGGGGCTGCCAGGCCTGGGGTGGGCCGGGGACAGGGGCCGACCCCGGGGTGGCCGAGCAGGGAGAGGGGCACAGGCAGGGTTAGCCTGAGAGGACCGTGAGGAGCAGGGAACAGACGCTTTGCTCGAACGGACGCTTTCCCGATCGTCCCGGCCCCGAGCCGGTCAGAAACTAAACCGCACGTAGGAGCGATGTCTCCAAGACCCCCGTGCCTCTGGTGCCACGGCCGCAGGGCTCCCGTGTCTCCTCGGTCTGGCTCCGGGGGACGGGGACGGCCGGTCTGGCCACCAAGGCAGGCGGGGCGAGGAGGTGGCCTGGTGCTTGCGGCGGGGCTTGGGGTCGAGGCCGTGACCAGCCTGGTGCTGCACCGCTGTCTGGCACGCAGCTGGCTGTCTGACGAAATCCCACTCGGAATCCACGTTAAGGAAGGTTGTGGCTCACAGAGTCAAACTCTCCGCTCCCAAAACCGTAGGTCCGTAAGGCAGGAAGGGAGACCAGGAGTTCACCGCGTCTGTTGCCCTGCCCTTCAGCTGTGGGTCCCTATCTGACGGGCCTAGGTAAGACATTCAGAGAGGTACAGTGTGCCACAAGCTACCTCGGTTACTGCTTCCATCAGAAGACGTAGCCATGAGATAGTTTTGTTTAAACCTGATACTTTTCAGGGTGTTCGTGGTGAAGGTTTCTCCAGGTTGTTGCACTTTTACGTAAAAGAGGTCTCCTGCCACTTTACTTTCTTTTTCCTAAGCTACGTTTGTAGGTTAAATGTGATGTACCGATTAAGACCCTGTTTTCCTTGCTCTCCTTTGGATTGTCTCAAATTCTCGAAGCTTGGTTGCTTTTCCTCGGAGGGATGTATTCAAGGTATTAACTAGTACCCAAAAACCTAACAAGTTATTGAATAATGTCTATAAGGAATTTTCATGCGTGGTCAGAAAGTGTTTCAAAAAGCAAGTTACCAGCTTGCTCATGTTTGAGGTGGGAAAACTGAAATAGAAAGAAAAGAACAAAGGTAAACCCACAAAAGAACTTGGCACTGCAATGTGTTGAGTGTCACAGCATCTACAGAATTCAGAGTCCCAAGTTAGGTGCCAAAGTTCTTTATATACCAAATCATAGCAATGTGGTTTGGAAAGACCTAAAGAAGAAGACATCCAATCCAACCTGAGACCTTCTTTCTCTGTAACCACAGCCCTGAATTTCACCCCACCTCTCCTAGGTGCTTAGTTGTCTGTTTACATGTATCCAAAGCCCAGCTCTGATATGGCACAGCTGCATAACCTTGATCCAGAGTGCTGTGAGAGAACTGTGAGAACATCTGCAGAGACATAAGAAAGATGAAAGCGCAGACAGGAGTAGGGCTGTGGACATGAGATTGTTGGTAATTCAAGGATCTCAGAGGGAAAGTACCAGCATGAAAAAGTATAAAATCCTAAAGGGAAAAAATCACCTGGGGAAGCCTAGTCAAACTAGCCAGTCTCACTGGGGACTAGCTGGGAATCATTGCATCATGTTATCCGCGTTGATAGAGCTGGTGGAAGATGCCAACTTGGCCATGCTGGGAATCCTTTCCAGAGAGCCATGGGAAGTGACCCTTCCCCTTTTGACTCATGCCTGCCTGCCCAGCAAAGACTTCTTGTGTAGCTTAACGTGAGTGGCAAGTATGCTATCGTTTACTTTAATAGCTCATTAAGCCCTAGCTAGCTGTTCTGTGTGTTAGCTAGTAACTAACTGCTCTGTTTTGAATTGTGTGTATTCTTCTTGCAGAGTATCTGTGTCTGGCTAAAACTACCTGAATAAACTGACCAGGTGTGACGGATGCACTCAGCTTCTTAACCAAACTAGTGGTGGTTGGGTACAGGCTCCAAAGGAGGTAAAGGCCTAAATCATAACCAGGCCAAGAACTTCTCTAGTTCTAATCTGTTCTCTGAAAATCCACAAAGGGACACAGTGACACAGTGAGCATCGATGCATACGAGCTTGGAACACTGATCATGTAATTAACACATGAATAGCAGGTGGCTTTTCCCAGACTCATTTATCAAGGAACAATGAAAGTTGTGGGTACAAGGAGTCTCATGCATACCTTTCCCATTGCATGTAATTTGACTACAAGCCAACTGCTTTGTTCCATAAATACAACAGCCTAAGTGAGCTTTCTTTGAGCTCTCCCTGCTAAGCAGCTGGCTAGCTCGCTGCATGGTGATCTCCCCTTGAGCTGGGATGCCCCTCAAGGTTGCTCCTCCAGGCAGAGAGACCTCCCACCAACTGCAAATCTTTGGTAAGTGACTGATACCATGGTATTACACTGCACTAAGATTTTTGTATTGGTAACTTTGATTCTGTCTTGGTAACTTTGAATCATTGTTGTATACTTTGTGCAGTAATAGAGTGAGCCTTGCCATTGAATTTTGTTATGCCATCAAATTTTGTTAAGTCGCACTCTTACAACATCATACTTCAATAAAACCACTTTTGCTGATACTTTTGGCGGTGGTTCTTTAAGCTGTCTAAACTGCCCATCCGTGACAACAAGAGGGGCCATAACAGACCTCCCATCCAAAGGAGGACTTCACCTGTCTGTTAAGTCTCGAAAGCCTCCAAGAAAGGCAATTTCAGAAGCTTCCTATGTGACCTGTTGTAGTGCTACACTTCCTTCCTAAGAGCACAGTTTTCCTAGTATCCCAAATGACAACTTGTCATTGTTGCCTCATATTACCTTGTGCCATCTGCTACCACTAAGAAAAGTTGCCTGTCTGCTTTGTCTTTCAGGTAGTTGTAAGTTGCCTTTAGTTGGTCCCTTAGGCCTGCTCTTTGGGAAACTAACCAGGCTTCTAGTTCATGTTCTCCAAGCCACACACAATCTTGGTATGCCTTTGCTGTATCTTCTCGCATTTCTCAACATCTCTCTTGAACTGGGGTGCCCCAAACTGGACACAGTATTACAGTCTCCTTGCTGCTAATTAATGGCAGTATCATAGCCCTTGTCCTGGTTTCAGCTGGGATGTAGTTAACTGTCTTCCTAGTAGCTGGTACAGTGCTATGTTTTGAGTTCAGTATGTGAAGAATGTTGATAACGCTGATGTTTTCAGTTGTTGCTCAGTAGTGTTTAGACTATAGTCAAGGATTTTTCAGCTTCTCATGCCCAGCCAGCGAGAAAGCTGGAGGGGCACAAGAAGTTGGCACAGGACACAACCAGGGCACCTGACCCAAACTGGCCAACAGGGTATTCCATACCATGGGACGTCCCATCTAGTTTAGGAACTGGGAAGTGGGGGGCAGGGATTCGCCGCTCGGGGACTGGCTGGGTGTCGTTCGGCGGGGGGTGAGCAATTGCCCTGCGCATCATTTGTACATTTCAATCCTTTTATTACTACTGTTGTCATTTTATTAGTGTTATCATTATCATTATTAGTTTCTTCTTTTCTGTTCTATTAAATCGTTCTTATCTCAACCCAGGAGTTTTACTTCTTTTCCTGATTTTCTCCCCCATCCCACTGGATGGGGGGGGAGTGAGTGAGCGGCTGCGTGGTGCTTAGTTGCTGGCTGGGGTTAAACCACAACAGCCCTGCATCAGCATACAGAGCTCTTTAATGCCTCCTGTTTGTTTGTTAGCGTAGCATCACTTCAGGTGGGCACCTGGGTATGACAGTTACCCCCCAATGTATGAAAGCTTCCCCCATAATGCCATCCTTTCAGCTTCCTTATTTTTGTGCATAAGCTTGGGGTGGCATCCTTTGATTGCCAGCCCAGTCCACCTCCCCTCACTTCATAGTCATCATCTATCTCCTCATTATTCCTAGTTTAAAGCTCTTGTCAGCACAGCCAACGTGTTGGCAAAGATTCTTCTTCCCCACTTAGTCATGTTGCTCTCATCTCCTCCTAGCAGTCCTCAATGCTCAGCAAGAGTCCCTTGGTCATAAAAGCTGATTCCTTGCTGTTGGTACCAGCTGTGCAAACATGTATTGACCCACAGAATTCTCCAGGCATTGAGGGCACCTTTCCCTTTGTCATGGTTTCAGCCCAGCCAGTAACAAAGGACCATGCAGCTGCTCACTCACTCCTCCCCACCCCGGCCACAGTGGGATGGGGAGGAGAATCAGAAAGGAGAAAAGAAAAAAAAAAAGGAACTTCATGGGTTGAGATAAGGACAGTTTACTGGGACAACGCAAGGAGAGAAGTTACAACAACAATGATACTAATAAAAGAGTATACAAAACGAGCGATGCACAGTGCAACTGCTCACCACCCAGAACTCAATGCTCCGCCACTTTCCCCACTGAAAGCCGAGAGCTCCCCCCAGCCTGCTCCCCATTTATATATACTGAGCATGAGGTCACATGGTATGGAATAGCTCCTTGGCTAGTTCAGGTCAGCTGTCCTGGCTGT